TGTTTCCATTCTCATCTCTGAGTTTATTAATTTGGGTGTGTTCTCTTCTTTTTCTGATAAGATTTGCTAAGGGTCTGTCAATTTTGTTAAGTTTTTCGAAGAACCAACTCTTTGTTTTGTTGATTCTTTCTATAGTTTTTTTGGATTCTAATTCATTTAATTCTGATTTAATTTTGATTATTTCTTTCCGTCTACTGGATTGGGGTTTATCTTGCTGCTCTTTTTCAAGGAGGTTTAGATGTGTCATTAAATTGTTAGTTTCAGATCTCTCCAATTTGTTGATGTAGGAGCTCAGAGCTATAAACTTGCCTCTGAGTACTGCCTTTGCTGTGTCCCAGAGGAGCTGGTATTTTGTGTGTTCATTTTTGTTGAATAGCATGAACATTTGAATTTCCTTTCTAATCTCTTCCATGACCCACTCATGATTCAGCAGTGTGTTGTTCAGCCTCCATGTGATACCGGACTTTCTTTGGTGTCTTTTGGTGTTGAGTTCTAACTTTATTCCCTTGTGGTCAGAGAGAATGCAAGGTATAACTTCAATGTTTCTGTATTTAGACAAGTTTGCTTTGTGGCCTAAAATGTGGTCTACTTTAGAAAACGTTCCATGTCCTGCTGAGAAAAACGTGTATTCTGATGCTGCTGGGTGAAATGTTCGGTAAATGTCTGTTAAGTCTAGTTGATCTATGCAGCTGTTTAGATCTGCGGTTTCTCTGTTGAGTTTTTGCCGAGTTGATCTATCTAGTGGGGAGAGTGGTGTGTTAAAATCCCCAACGATTAATGTCTTTGGATCTATATAGGATTTGAGGGAAAGTAGTGTTTCTTTGATAAATTTGGGTGCTCCATTGTTTGGCGAATAGATATTTAGAATTGTAATATCCTCCTGAAGGAGAGATCCTTTAATTAGTATGTAGCGACCTTCTTTATCTCTTTTCACGAATTTTAATTTGAAGTCTATTTTATCTGATATTAGGATTGCAACTCCTGCCTGTTTATGCGGTCCGTTTGCTTGGTAGATTTTGTTCCAGCCTTTAACATTGAAAATGTGTTTGTTTTTACGGGCAAGATGTGACTCCTGCAGGCAGCAGATAGAAGGGTCTTGTTTTTTAATCCAACTAGACAGTCTATGTCGCTTAATTGGAGAGTTCAGTCCGTTAACATTAAGAGATAGGACTGAGAGGTATTTGGGAGTTCCTGCCATGTTATCTACCTTCTTGGGGGCTGCGAAAACTGGGTTCTTCCTATGGTTCTTGGATTCTCAGTTTGGGTGCAGTTTCTTGGCCTTTATTGCGGTCTTGTTGGTTTTCTATGTGTAGGACATCTTTAAGAATCTTTTGTAGGGCTGGTTTGGTGGAGATGTATTGTTTCAATTTTTCTTTGCTATGGAAGGTTTTTATTTGGCCTTCAGTTATGAAGTAGAGTTTAGCTGGGTACAGTATTCTTGGTTGATAGTTGTTTGTTTTTAGAGCATGGCATACATCATTCCAGGCTCTTTTTGCTTTGATTGTCTCTGCTGAGAAATCTGAGGTGATTCTAATTGGTTTCCCTTTATAAGTGATTACCCTTTTCTCTCTGACAGCTTTAAGGATCTTTTCCTTGTTCTGAGTTGATCCTGTGTGGATTATAATGTGACGGTGGGATGTCCTAGTCTGGTCTGGTCTATTTGGGGTTCTAAAGGTTTCTTGTATCTGGACAGGCTTATCTTTTTGCATGTTTGGGAAGTTCTCTGCTAGGATCCTGTTAAACAGATTTCCTAGACCATTAACTTCTGTTTCTAGGTGTTCCTCTACACCCATTATCCTTAGATTAGGCCTTCTGATGGTGTCTTCCAGGTGTTGGATAGATCTATCATATTTCTTGGACTTGTCTTGGATGGTTGTATGTTCTTTCTCTATAATATCTAGGCTGTCTTCAATCCCTGAGATTCGATCTTCTGCATGGTCTAACCTGCTGTCAAGACTCTCTACTTTGTTTTTTATCTCTTTTCCTTCTAGTTGGTCAGCTTTGATGGCTTCAAGTTCTTTGTTGAAGCTCTGTTTTAGGTCTTGTATGAATTTCTTTACTTCCTTAATTTGGTGTTCAGTGTTTGTCCTCAAATCACTTAGTTGATTGGTTATGGTTTCTTTGGGCTCCCATTCCTTCTGTTGGGTTCCATTCAGCATTCCCTTTGTGGTCTCCCTGACTTCCTTCAGCTCTTTGTTAATGGATTCCATGAATGCCTTTAGTGATCTTTGTGTGTCTGTTGGGTTCCATTCAGCATTCCCTTTGTGGTCTCCCTGACTTCCTTCAGCTCTTTGTTAATGGATTCCATGAATGCCTTTAGTGATCTTTGTGTGTTCTCTACCTGGTCTCTCAATTCCTGTATTACTCTTTGATTAGCTTCCTCCCGTTCATGGTATTCCTGCAGATTTCTTTGAATGTTCTCAGCCTGCTCACGCCATTCCTCCCTTTCTCTTTGAGTATTCTCAAGTTGTTCACGCAAATCCTATATCAGTTTTTGAGTAGCTTCCTCACGCTTATGATATTCCTGTATAAACTTCTGGGATGCCTCCTCTCTCTCCCTATCACGCTCATACAGAGTCCTTTGTACGTTGTCAAACTTTTCATTTATCATGTTTGCCAGTAGTGTTTGTAGAGCTGTTTGGGAACTCTCCTCTGGATTATTCACTATCTGTTCTAACCCCTGATTATCAGGATTGGGAATTGAGATACCCGAATTTGCCATTTTTCTTGTGTTTTTCCGGCTTACTCTGCCCATTTGAGATGAAGATAGCACCAGTTTTGTGCTAGAACACTATCTTAAGGCAACCATCAACCAAAGTTTGCATTTGTACAGTCAATAATCTACAGATACAATCTAGTTCAACAGATACATCTATTAGACATCAAACAACTATATGTTAAAGGACTTCGAACCACAGAGAAGAATTTGGAAAACCAGAAATTATTAGGGTTAGGGAGAGATGTGGGTAAAAAATAGGAATAGATTGGTGTGGGGAGGCACAGGGAGAGTTAACTATGTCCTAATCACAATGCAGGAAATAGGTTGGGTAGGATGTAAGTAGAGAGAGAGAGAAAAAGAAGAAAGGGAAAGGGGGATGTAAGGAGACCAGAAAAAAAAATAGAAACGTAAAAATTAATGTTATTTTAGAGATTAAAAGACCATCTATTTATAGAGGAATATAGAGGACATAGAGGAGTTGAGAAAAACTTTAAAAAAATGCTTAAAATATTATATAGGTATAAAGAGGTAGTACTGCTATTAATGAATTTAAGTCTCAGAGGTTTTGAATTGAGTAATAAGTTTGTGGATTAAGTGTGTACACAATGGGGGATAGGGTCTACTGGTTAACTACGGGTTTATCTGAGGATGTGCAGGACAAGAGTTAAGTCACATAAAGATGAACAAAGAGGAAAAGATGGAAAGGATAGGAAAGTGAGAAGAAAAGATCAGAAGTTCAGTAGAGCTAGAAAAAAAAACAAAAAGATAATTAAGAATGAAAGAAAAAGAGAAAGAAGACAAGAAAAGAAAAGAAAACACACATTCACGTATTCCTAAAATAAAAATTATAAGAGGAGAAAAAAAAAAAAAGTTAATGGAAAACAATTATTTTTTCAGAAGAGGCAAAAATTAAAGATTAATAAAAGTTTTAGAAAAGCAAAAATAATTTTTTATATATATATAAGGTAACAAAAAACGAAAAAAAAACAAAACAAGAAAAAGAAAAAAGAAAAGAAGAAGAAGAAAAAAAAAGTTCTTTGATTTTTTTTTTTTTTTTGGGAGAGGTGGGAAGAGTCCTGTATCTCCCTTTTGTCTGTAACCAGAGTCTGGTTGGAGTCTCTGGTCAGCTTGAGGTCCTGTGGCTTGATTGGTTTCTTAAGTCAGTTTGTTGGAACAGGCAGAAAAATGCTCTGCTTTACCCAAGATTTTGAGATCCCCCTCCCAGGTTAGTTTACTGGGAGGGTGATCTGCTTTGAGAATCACAAAAGAGGGGGATGCAGTGATGAGGCTAGGTTCTGGGTAGAGTTGAGGCCTTTCAACAAACAGTTGCTTTTCCCTGGGGCTATTTTGTGAAAAAAAAACTCAGAGCACCCAGCCAGGAGCCATTCTCAGGGTTTCTGTTTTTCAATTGATTGTGGTGGCTGCTAGAGGGAGGGGCAGCCTCTGGCTCTGGTTACCCAGTGAGGAGAGCCACTCCAATGCCTGGCGCCTGAACTAGGTGACTTTTCCCTCGATGGAACTGAGTCTGTGAGGTCACTTCGCCGTTGAGTTCTTGTGACCTGCTAAATGACTAGTTTTATTCCAAGGCCTGAGCTGGAGCTAGCCGCTCCTCCGAGCTTTGTTGGTATCCAAGATGGAGATCACTGGTGCTGGGGGGGGAAGGGTGGCCTTCCCTCCTCTGCTCCCAGAGAAGGAGTGAGGAAGTGGGGCTTCTACTCACGCGGAGTCTTGGATCCCGGGTCGTCTCTGGTCTGCAAAGTGCAGGATGAAGTTGTCCGCTCCTTGTCGCTTCTTGCTGGTGTTGAGTAGAATCCGCTCGTCCGCTGAGTCTGGCTCCTACGTCCCAGACTGCGTCTCAGGTATGCCTCCGCGGCGGTGGTCGCCGCTGCGACCCTGCCGCCGCAGCGGCAGCTGCTCAGATGTGTCTGCTTGGCTTCCCCTCTCTTGACTAACTCTCTGTCCTGTGATGGCACACTTGGTGTGATTCTCTGGCTTGGGACTGTTCACTGGAACTCTGAAACTGTTTTCTATGCAAGAGCTTGTTCAGATTCCAGCTTCTCCTCCGCCATCTTCCCGGAATTCTCCCGATACAGTCGAGCTCTCTCAATTCTAAGACTCCAATTTAGAATACCATCCTGTTGGAAGATAGGATCTATACATACTACTGTGGGTAGAGATAAGCACTTGATTCAAAAAAAAGTCATGAGATTTGCAGTTAATCATTTGTGATAAGCATATACCTACCCAAAATTTGTGACCTTTGTGCAGGATCAACTTATAGAAATACCAATTGCTTCTCACCCTGCTGCTGGCTGTGGAGGAGATCAACAAGAATCCCCATCTGCTACCGAACATGACTCTGGGGTTTGAGATCTATACAGCACATTACTCAGGTACTGATCTGTTAGAGGATCCTCTCATCTGGCTGTCTGGGAAAAATAAAAACAGCCCCAATTACACCTGCAGAAGAGACAGCAAAGCTTTAGCAGGACTCACAGGAACCTCAAGCACATCTGTTCCAATCGGGACACTGCTGGACCTCTACCAACTTCCACAGGTGAGGCTGGGAGAGGTGGGCAGATGTGAAACTATGTCCACATGGACTCTGTCCTGGACAGGCTGAAGAGGTATTATCATGAACCCTTCCAAATGCATAATCTCACAGGGAAAAGACTCCAAAAGTGGGTGGAACAGACACATTTTCTTTGCTCTAAATAAAAGGAGAGGTTTTAAGAAAGGAAAGGATGACCCAAAGCTCTGAGCCTTAACCATACATGTATGCAAAGTGCTTGGAACATGGGAGATGACTTTGCAAATGGGATAAGCAAACTTTTGCTCCCACCCTTCCCAGTTTTTGTTTAGCTTACATCAGGACTGAGACTTGCCTATTACCATCCTCTTCCTGGTGTTGTGTTCATTTTTTCCCTGTAGTTCACTTTTGGGGCTTTTGAACCTCTCCTGAGTGACGATGGAAAGTTTGGGACTGTCTATCAGATGGCAGCCAAAGACTCAGATCTAGCCCTGGCCATGGTCTCTTTGATGCTTCATTTCGGCTGGACCTGGGTGGGACTGTTCATCACTGAAGACAACTATGGTGTGTGGTTCCTCTCAGAATTGAGAGAAGAGATGTGCAACAGTAGAGTCTGTTTTGCCTTTGAGAACATGATCCCTTACAATGCCTTTACAGATTACTCAGATGATCTATCCACGTATTGCCAGCTAATGGACTCATCAACCAATGTGATTATCTTTTATGGGGACAGTAAATTTCTACTAAGCTTTATTGTTAAATTTGGGCACATTTCAATTACAAGGAAAGTGTGGGTCATGAACTCACCCTATGATGACATCACCATTGGTAAAAGATATTTTCTTTTTTTTTTTTTTTTTTTTTTTTTTGGGTCCGGTTGCAGGGCCTGAACTCTGGGCCTGGGCACTGTCCCTCAGCTCTTCAGCTCAAGGCTAGCGCTCTACCACTTGAGCCACAGCGCCACTTCCGGCTTTTTTCTTTTTGCTTATGTGGTGCTGAGGAATCGAACCCAGGGCCTCGAGCATGCAAGGCAATTGCTCTACCACAGAGCCACCTTCCCAGCCCCCGGTAAAAGATATTTTCTGATCCACTCCTTCCACGCATTTCTCACCTTCTCTCATCATCATAGAAACACTTCTCTCTTCACCAATTTTATTCTGAAAGGTACCTTGTCAAATAACTTAGGAAATAATTCCCTTCCTAGGTCATGGATTCCGTCTGTTTATAGCCTACTGATTAAGTCTGACTGCAGAGACTTGGGGTACTGCTCATACAATGGCACACTCCATTGGTTGCTGAGGTATATTTTTGACATGACCATGTCAGAAGAGAATTACAACATCTATAATGCTGTGTGGGCCTTGGCCCACGCCCTCCACCAGATGTTTCTTTGTCACATGGAGGAGCCACTAGGGCACAATGGTCAATCAAGGGCATTTCTCTCTTCACAGGTAATGGCTTTGGTTTTGGGTGACCTACTCTAGGCATATAGACTTTCTATAGAAGATTTCATAGCAGATGGAACTAGGTCATCTGGCTCCATTTTGGAAAATATAAGAAACATTGGGCCTTTCATACTCTACATGAGTGAATGTAGAGCTGTGAAGACAATGTTCTTGAAGAACGCTGCATCCATGAAAAGGAAGTGCTGTGTCTTCTGTCCCCATCCACACTATGTGTGGAAAAAGCCGTCCCCTTTTCAATATATCCAAATTGTCCTTGTAACTTTTTAAAATAACAGATCAAGGTGACTAATTCTTGAAAACCTAATATTGTCTGGACACAAGTGGCTCACACCTATGGCTTACTCCTGACTATAGTTAACTATCAAAAGCCAGAAGTGGAGCTTTGGCTCAATGGATAGAATGCATACTTTGAAAAGAAATTAAAACCACCTCGATTTGAGTGTCTAAGCCCTGAGTTTGTGTCACAGGATAAACACACACACACACACACACACACACACCACAATGAACTAAGTCTTGCTTAAAGTAGTCTTTCATAATTGTCATAAATATTTTACTATCCTACTTAGTTTATTATTCCCCTTATTTCAGACTGACTCTCTGATCACAATCATAAAATAAGTGATTGGAATGCAATTGAGAGTCTTTGAGGTCTGTCATATGATAATTCATTATTTTGTTAGATGTAGCTGCATTAGATGTTGCATTCCCTTGAAATTGAGTTTCTGCATCCCATCCTGGATACCCAGGTTTTAGAACTTGGTAACACTTTAGTCTGCTGTGGGCCTGCAATTGATACAGTTGGTTGGATTCCTGTGGTGTGTATGAATCAGGGGATGGGAATGAAGTGTAATCCATTGTTCTGGGGTTCTGTGATAACACTGGGAAGCACTTCACCATACTGTAATGTGTCCCTTTTAGCTGCATCCCTTTTTGAAGAAGATCCAATTTACCAATCCTGTTGGAGACCAAGTGGTTTTGAATGAGGAAAGGAAATTGGAGGCAGAATATGACATTAAGAGCTTTTGGAATTTTCCAGAAGGTCTGGGACAAAGGGTGAAAGTTGGCGAGTTTTCTCCATCTAGGCCATATGGTCAACAACTGATTTTGTTTGAAAATCTGATAGAGTGGCCCATAGGAATTACCAAGGTGGGTCATTTCTACTTTTTTTACTCTCTCCTTTTTAAAAAAAAAGGATTGTTATTAGGAAGTAGTTGTAGAAAGAGCTTACAATTTCCTTAGTCAGGTTACAATCACAATGCTTGTAGACACTGTCACTACATCCTATTTCTCCCCCAGAGTTGGTTGTTTCTAAGCATAATGTCATAATCTATGTATTAATAAGCAACAAGCTTACCCTTTTTTTAAAGCTTGTTCAATAAAACTATGGTTCAATCGTGTACATTTCACCACTTCCTGTTTCTGGAAGTTTCTTACTAACAGATTCATGTAGGGAATAGGGGAACATTTCATTATCAATATGTTGTTCTATGTTTGCATATTGAATATCATAAAAGCTAAATGCCACTTGTGAATCATCTTTCCAACACTGTGACCAAATACCTGAGGGAATCAAATGAGAAGGCAGAAGGGCTTGCTTTGCTTCTGCCTGGAGATTTCAGACCATGCTTGGGTAGATTGTTGCTTTTGGATCCGTGTTGACACAGGTTGTAATGAAAGGAGCATCTGCCAGTGAAGTTCACCCACCTCATGGCAGCTGGGAAGTCAAGGGAGTGAGATGTGAATAACCCTGGATACAACAGCACCTTCAAAGCACTTAGCCATGCTTTAGAGTGTTGATTTAAAGTTTCCCCTAGTGATGTTCTTCTTATGAGAGAAAACACATCATCACCTGATACAAGAATGGGATGTAGGGTTAACTCCCATTTCCTAATTTCCTAGAATTAACATCCACCTCTTCAAGGCTCCATGACTTCCTGATAGCGTGAGGGGCTGGATGTCGATTCTCCATATATTCTTCAGGTCATGTTACATGAAACTGTAAGAAGGCTCAATCAATTCATTGGTTGTATGTATTTAAAGATTTTGTTTTTGATGATCTTTTTCCTTAAAGTGCTGGAGTGTCTGGGATTTCAGGTAAAAGGATGAATAGTACTACCCTTCATCTGAATGTTCCCAGACTCCTCAGTCTGTCTGCACTGAGAACTGTGGTTCTGGATACAGGAAGGCCTCTGTGGAAGGAAATGCTACCTGTTGCTTTGACTGCATTCTTTGTCCAGAGAATGAGATTTCTAATGCAGACAGGTGAGTCTGTGACTTATAGAGAAATTCCCCATCTCACCTTCTTAACCTTCAGTCCATCCAAACCAGTGGAGTGATATACAATAAAACAGCAGGAACACACATGCACCTTCACCCAAAGTTCTATGACTATCATTAACCATACTTCTCCTTAGAAGAAACAACCCACTGCCCCTCCATTACAATACCCTGTTCCCCTCTCCTCAGTCACATGTTTTTGTATGTAAAGAAAGTATATAAAAAAGAAAATATCAAGGATTAGTTGTTGATGGTTGAAATGACATGCAAATCTAAATGGAATTGTGGATGTAACAGAATTTCATTTGTGAATGCTCATTGCCACTCTTTCCTAATTAAATGTTATTTTCTATTTAGCACACCTAATAATACAAGGGGCTTTTGGGCTTTTTTGTTTTTTTTTTTTTGTTATTATCACTCCATATCTGACACTGGCACTAGGTTGACTAACAATTACTCAAATACCATTGATTCAGAAGTAGTTCACCATCTCCATTTCGTGTCTCTTCTCCTTCCTCAAGCTGAGCTTTCTGAGATCCTCTCATATCTGTGGAGGAGCATTGTTCTTTCTTTAATACATTTTTAGTGTTAAAATCCTCTACAGAGTGGTTACATTTACATCGGTAAGGAAATGAGTACATTTCTTATTGAGTATTGTTGCCTCCTCCTTTGTTTTTCTCTTACCATCTCTTCCTTCCAACCTCCCCAACTCCTCCTCCCATAGATCAAATGCTCAGAAAGTTTGTTTGGGGTAAGTAGTAGGTTGAGTTTAGGATTAAAACTTCTTTTTAAATTGAAGTGCTTGGGCTGATTCTATATTTTCCATTATTTCTTGAATGAGTAGCAGAGAGCCAGAGTGGTATGGCCTGTCAAGAATGCAGCAGGATGGCTAGGTAATTATATATTGCACCTGTAATCCAAGTGACTCAGGCAATTGAGATTTGAGGATGGAGCTTCATTGCAATGATGAGCAGGAAACTCAGTAAAAATCTTTTCCACAATTAAGCACCAAAACAGCTGGAATTTGAGCTGTTAGTCAAGTGGTAGAGGGGTAGTTTTGAGAATGAATACTCTGGAAAAATTCCTAGGGGCAGAGTTCAAGCACTGGATGAAAGACAAACAGACAGACAGACAGACAGAAAAAGAAAGAAAAAAGAAAGAAAGAAAGAGAGAGAGACGAGGGTGATGTGAGGGAGTGAGGGAGAGAAGGAAGGAAGCGAAATAAACAGAAAAAAGAGAAAGAGAAGAAGGAAAGAAGAAGAAATGTGTGAAAGAAAGAGAATTCAGGTGAACGTATTTTGATACAGAGAGTTATACTAGTTGGTATTGAGAGCAATACAGGTTAACTGGTGAATCAGGGGAAATGAGCTGCTTAAGTAGAGGAGGATGTGAGGAAAGAGAAATATGGAAACCAGACTAATAGTGATTCTCACTCCTCATCAGACATGGAGCCCTGTGTCAGGTGTGCAGATCATCAATTTGCCAACACCCAGAGAAACCACTGCCTCATGAAAACTGAGGGCTTCCTGGCTTATGAAGACCCCTTGGGCCTGTCTCTGGTCTGCACGGCTCTCTGCTGCTCTGCACTAACAGCTGCTGTTCTTGGGGGGTTTATCAAGCACCAAGACACCCCTATTGTCAAGGCCAATAACCGGGCACTCAGCTACATCCTGCTCATCTCCCTCACCTGCTGCTTCCTCTGCTCCTTGCTCTTCCTTGGCCGTCCCAACACAGCCACCTGCATCCTGCAGCACACCACATTCGCAGTGGTCTTCACCGTGGCTGTCTCCACGGTCCCAGCAAAGATCATCACTGTGCTTCTGGCCTTCACACTCACTGATCCAGGGAGAAGCATGAGACTGTGGCTGTTGTCCGGGGCTCCTAACCTCATCATCACCATCTGCACTCTCATCCAAGTGACTCTCTGTGGTCTCTGGTTGGGAATCTCTCCTCCTTTTGTGGACATAGATGCACACTCTGTACATGGCCACATCATCATCCTGTGCAACATGAGCTCTCTCACCGCTTTCTTCTCTGTCCTGGGATACCTGGGTGCCCTGGCCCTGGCCAGCTTCACTGTGGCTTTTCTGGTCAGGAACCTGCCTGACACCTTCAATGAGGCCAAGTTCCTGACCTTCAGCATGCTGATGTTCTGCAGTATGTGGCTCACCTTCCTGCCTGTCTACCATAGCACCAAGGTGAAGGTCATGGTGGCCGTGGAGGTCTTCATCTTGGCCTCCAGTGGAGGCCTCCTGAGCTGCATCTTTGCCCCCAAGTGTTACATCGTCTTGATAAGACCTGAGAGAAATTCACTGCACAGGTGTAGGGAGAGAACAACTGAAAGAAATAAATCTTAAGATGGACATAAATTTTGTCTAGAATGCTTGGAGGGTCTGAGACAAATCCATACAATTTGGGCAGTCAATAACCATTTGAACTCATTCATTTTGTGGGTTGTGTTAGAGTTAGAGCAAGATTCCAACTAGACTGTCTAAATTTGTATTTCCTCCTGGATATCCTTTGTTTCCTCCAATGTAATCTTCCTTTTATGCTATCAGTCGTCCTTTTAATTACAAATCTACTGTGATTCTTCCTTTCCCTATATGCAGGCTATAATGATGCTTTAATATCACTATATTGCTCATTTCACTGATATATGAACATTCATTTTGATGAAAGTTTCCATACTTTGATTACAGTTACTTGAGAATATTTTCTGAGCTAGTTGTGTATTTCTGTTCAAATATTTACTGTTCTGCAATATTACTGAGTGTATTTTCCTAGGAAATACCTCTCCCTCTCTCCCTCACCCCCTCTGTACATCTTTCTCTCTCCCCTTCCTCCTCCATACCTTCCTCCCTCCTTCCCTCCCTCTCTCCCTCTCTCTCTCTCTCTCTCTCTCTCTCTGTCTCTCTCTCTCTCTCTCTCTTTCACATTCTCTTTCACCTCCTTCAGAAATTTAGATCAGGGTATTAAGCAGCACTAGTTTCCCATGGGAATCTCTATGAGTACTTTTTTCTGGCAAAAAGGGCCAGGGCATCAACGTGACTTAAGATGAACCACTGGAGGAATAGTTTGATTATTGGTCATTATTCCTCACGGGAAGTTGAAGGTATCTAGTGCATGATGGTCTGAGTTTAGCCTTGTCACCTCAGTCTCTAAGGATCCTAAATATTAATAGATAGCAAAAAGAAAGGGATCCCCAAAGAGGGGGAAATACATTAGGTCATGCTCAGACTCAATATATGGCCATGATCTTTAAATAGTACAAGAGAAGGAACAGTTCAACCATTCAGAAGGCTCCTTGAAGAAATCAGAATCTGTTGCCTCCTTGTTTGGAGTTGAGGCTCCTTCACTTGCCATTTATCTTGTGTTTCTATGGCTTGTTCTATCCCACTTGGAATTGGCAACAGAGCAGCCAATGAAAAACCTAGAGGATAGTTCTCAAAATGCTCTAGAAACACTACTGGCAATCATGCTGAATGAAAAGGGACCGTTTGGTGACAGAGTGCAAGGGAAAGTCTATAAGGGAAAAAAATGGGAATCCAGAGGTGAAAGAAGTTAAAGAAGGCCAAGAAGGGCCAGATGCTCTTCGTTGGACAGAGACAGGTGGTAATTGAGGAGGTCCTGAATTGTGCAGGGAGGTATAGCTCATCCCTGATGAGAAATAATGACCCCTAGGTGTGAATAAAATCTGGCACAACTGAGTAGAGTATTTCAAGGCTCTGTAGCCCCAAGAAGCAAGAGGGTTAAGAAGGGGAGTGGAATGCTTGGTATTTACTTTTTTATTAATTCTTAAAAGGTATTTATTACTTTTGTCAACTTAAAAAATGTTTATGGTTATTACAAAGGGGATATACAGGGGGTTACAGTTACAGAAGTCAGGTAAAAATACATTTCTTTATTTTTTTTTGTAGATTTTAACAGTAGTCATGATCATCTTTTATTGATTTTTATAAACAGCGAATAGATTACATTTATGCTCCATATTTCTTCCCAATATACTTATAGCACAACTCACCACAGTTCTTCAATAAATATTCATTAAATCATTTTGTGGAGGCATTGGGGCTAAATCTCTTTTGAGTGAGATTTCAAAACAAATATTCAGAGACCTAAATATCTGGCAATTATTTCCTTCATGATAAAGAAAACATCCATCAGGTTTGTCATTTGGAACTATTTTAAAAGTGCAGTCCAAACAATTTAATTGAAAATAAGTCATGTAAAATATATCTGCACATCACGCTTCCCTATCTAGGCACATTCAGAGTCACATTTTTATGTTTCTTAAATAATTCTTTTTAAATAACTATCAATATCAAATATCAAACGGTTGAACTGATACCTTTTACAGATTCCAATTTATTTATTCATTAGTATTCATTGGGAATAATGTCCCTAGAGAATAAGGCGTGTGTGTGTGTGTGTGTGTGTGTGTGTGTGTGTGTGTGTGTGTAAGATGGTAATCTTATTCTTCCTGCTATTTAGTCCATCACTGCCATGCAGCTGATGGAGCAGATTTTTCCCCCCATTTAAACAAAGCCCTATATTATGAGCCAACATTGAAGAATGAGTCACTTGGCAAGCAAGCCACCATCTTTACATTATTGGTATTGCTTGGCTATCCCTTGGTGCTTAGCATCAGGATGTTAAGCTCAGTGGATCTCTCTGAGTGGATAGGGGCACTATGAGACAAAAGGAGTGCGTCCAGGCCCCAACACCGTGTCCCTGGACCAGTGTCTGATATTTCGAGCATGAGGTAAAATGGTGGCACTCATGGCATCTTCCATGTGGCTGCTTCACCAGCAGTACACACCAGGCTGATTTTTAATGCTGATTTTAGGGGGCTGTGTGCAGATTACTTTCCCTTGTTAAAGATCTTCATGAAAACCCGGCCATAGCCTAGTCAGCCTTGGAAGACGCTCCCTGGCGTCCGCCGTCACGCTCACCGTTGCTCTCCACGGAGCCGTTGCACTTCCTTCTGCCATCTTGCCAAGTCTTGGATCCTGGGTCGTCTCAAAAATACATTTCTTTTTGGACAATGTCACCTCTTTCCTTGCTCTTTCCCAGATTCTCCCTCTTTTCCCACACACAAGTTATATAGTTCCTTTGCCACAACTGCTGCATTTGTTCACTTTGTCCCTCCATTTCCTAATCAAATTGGAAAGGCCTCACCTCTTAATACTGCCATATTGGAGAAGACACATTCAAACCACAGCAAGGAAAAAGCTGGAGGAAAAGCTGTAGATCTGAAGAAAGAAAAGTTCAGGTGATAGAAAATCATTACTTTTTTAAAATCAGGTGATAAGAGAAATCAAAGCAATGCTTTAGAAAGACTGATTTAACACTGTAATGCTGGAGGGGAGAATGAAATGAGAACAAACTGAAGAATAATTAAATTGAAGTAGAGATTTTGTATCTTTGCATATTTATTACAAACAATATGTGTTATATATGTAACAGTATGGCAGATTTTGCTAGTTTCCAGAATTTAAGTCTAACTATAAACATACAAATAATTAACTAAAGATGGTACACTTAGGGGAGGATTCAGAGGATATAGAACCTTTGAACAACTAATGATCAGGTTGTTTGATATTTGGCTCAGCTGAAAGGCTGAAAAGAAGGAGGTCATATTGAAGAAGAAAACTAGGGGACAGGTTGTAATTGGTCAAGTCCTATTGTAGGGTTTGGTCAATATAATGGTGGCGGTCTCTAAATCCTTGAGGCAATACTGTCTGTGTTATTTGCTGAGCCTGGAGAGTATCTGGGTCTTTCCTAGGTGAAGGCAAAGATGGGCCTTGAGGTGATGTGTCAGGGGATAATAAAGAAGGTGTCGTTTAAATCAAAAACTGAAAAGACTGGGGAGTTGGAGAAGATGTGGAACACAAGGATAGGATAAATGAGAACAGATGAGATGACTCTGATTATTTTTTCAGGGTCCTGAAGCAAGCAGTAGGAGCCATTAGGATTTTTTTTATTCCTAATATGGGGTTTTGTGGGAGAGTGAATGGGAATTAGGAGAGAGGCAGAAAGAAGCTGAAGGATAATGGACTTTAGCCCTCAGCAGGTAGCAGGAAAGAGGAGATACTCATTTGGGGTTAAAAAAGGTATGTGAGAAGCTTTAAGGGAAATAAGAATTTGGTCATTGTGGGAGGGAATGGGGAGGAGGTTCTTGAAATGTGCCAAACTAAGGGGATTTACTTCTAGAAGGGGACTTGGGGGAGCAGAGGATTGGGTTCATTTCACCTAACATCAAATCACCTGACCAATTCTGCTTTTCTCAGACATATACTAGTTATTGCAAATAAGGGAAACCCTGTGACTATGTTTCTTTGAGCCTGCCTTACTTCAATTAATATAATTTTTCCAAGTCTTTCCATTTCCTAACAAACAGGGCAATGCCATTTGTTCTAATGGAGGCATATAATTCCACTGTGTATATATATAACATATCTACATACATATATATGTATGTATATATTACATATATACATACATATATATGTATATATAACATATATATGTATATGTATATATGTATGTATATATATGTATGTATATATGTGTATATATATTTTCTTGATCCTTTCATCTACAGAGGGGCATCTGGGTTGGTTCAATACCTTAGCTATGTAAATAAAGCTGCAATAAACATTGTTGTGCTAGTCGCTTTAGTATGGTCTTGTTTGTGATCATTCGGATAAATACCCAAAAGTGGCATCGCTGTGTCATAGGGAAGCTCTATGTGGAGTCTTTTGAGGAACCTACATACTACTTTCCAAAGTAGTTGAATAAGTTTACACTCCCACCAATAATGCAGTAGGGTCCCCTTCTGTCCACATCCCCTCCAGCATCTGTTGTTATTAGAGTTCTTGATTATAGCCATTCTAACTAGGGTGAGGTAGAAACTTAATGTTGTATTGATTTGCATTTTATGGATAGGGAGGTTGACCATTTCTTCATGTGTCTATTAGCCATCCTTCTTTCCTCTTCAGAGAAGTTTCTCTGTAAGACTCTAGCCCACTTATTTATTCGGCCGTTGTTTCTTTGAGGATTGTTGTTGGGGGCTTTAATGTTTTAAGTTCAGGAATATTTTAGGTATGAGACCCTTGTCTATGGCTAGTGAAGATCTTTCTGTATTACTCTTTGAATAGGTTCCTCACGTTCACACAATTCCTGTAATTCTCTGACTGTTGTCAGCTTGATCACACAATTCCTGTGTTTCTCTTTGACTATTCTCAGCCTACTCAGGCAATTCCTGTCTTTCTCTTTGTTCTCAGACTGCTCAGGCAATTCCTGTATTTCTGTTTGACTGTTCTCAACCTGCTAACGCAATTCCTGTACTAATCTTTGAGTAGCTTCCTCATGCTCACCAGATTCCTGTTAATCTTTGGTTTGCCTCCTCTTGCTCCCTATCATGCTCACACTGAGTCCTTTCCAGGTTTTCAATCTTTTCATTCACCATGTTTACCAGTAGCGTTTGTAGAGCTTTTTGGAAAATCTCTTCTGGATTATTTATTAACTGTTCTGTCAGGTCATTATCATGAGTGGGAGTTGAGATACCTGGACTTGCCATTCTTCATGTGTTTCTCTGACTTGTTCTGCCTATTTGGTATGGAAGTAACTCCAATTTTATGCTAGAACACTATTTCAAGGCAAGCATCAACCAAGTCCTGTAGTGGCACAGTCAAAAAGCTGCAGATACAATCTAGTTCAACAGATACAATCTTTTCAACATCAAACAACTATGGGTAAATGGGCTAAGAACAGCACAGAAGGATTTGGCAAAGTAGAAATTATTAGATTTATGGAGAAATATGGGGAAAAATAGGATGTGGAGAGGTAACAGGAGAGTGAATTTAAAAAAATCCTAATCTCAGAGAGGGAAATGGATTGGACAGATCATAGGAGAGAGATTTAAAAAAAGAAAGAAAAAAATGGAAAAACAAAAATTTAAATTTAAAAAGTGAAACACTTAAAATTATTTAAGTTTAAAGAAATGATATTTGAGAAGAAAAGGATAGGATGAAAGGAAGGGAGGGATAGAAAAGAAACATGAAAAACTAAAAAATAAAATTCTTAAAATTGGTTACTTGAAAATTGTATAGGTTAAAGAGATAATACTGCTGTTAAAGGAGTTAAGCCTAAGAGGTTGTGAAATGAGCACTAAATTTCTGGATTAGCTATGTACATAATGGGGAATAAGGTCTAATAATTGATGACAGGTAAATATCTGGGGGTGAGCAGAACAGCAATTAAGTCACAGAAAAAAGAAAGAAAGAGAGTTAAAAAAATGAAAAGAATTTTAAAAAGGACCAAAAGGTTAAAAGAGATTTTAAGAAAGCACACACACACACACACACACACACACACACACACACACACACACACACACATACACACACACACACACACACACACCTAAAATAAAAATTATGAGAAAAAAAGATTAATAGAAAAAATTATAAAAATAAAAATTAAAAATTAGGTAGAAAAAAGAGTTCTTTGGGTTTTTTTTTTTTGGCGGGGGAGGGTGAGGAATGGGAAGATCCTGTATCT